GCTCTCAACCTCATGATACTGAAGAGACTTATGACAAAAAAAGTTAATAGGGTACACGTACAGATGTTATGATGAAATTGTCTCCAATTCCAATGGCCCAATAGAGAAGTTTTAGCATAATATAATACCCTAATCTTCTACATAGTTATCAGTTAATAGATGTTTAAAGGGCAGTAAATGTTAAATGTAACAATGACAAATAATCTGGATACCCAAGGTAGAGATGATAACTGGCTGAGGGGGTGGCATCAGAATGGAACTCTCTGTTAAGCATATTTCTTTAACAACTTTGCTGTAAATTGTAAAATTTAATTTCAAAAGGTAAAATGTGAGATTGAAAAATAACAACACCCTGTAGACTTGCAAAAATCTCCCCGAGTACAGTGGCCTCATCACAGCTCACTGCGACCTCAAACTCCTGGGTTCAAGTGATCCTACTGCCTCAGCCTCCCAAGTAGCTAGGAAATATGGATGCATGCCACCATGCCTGGCTAATGTTTGTATTTTTTTGTGTGCCAGGGTCTCACTATGTTGCACAGGCTGGTGTTGAAGTCCATACCTCAAGCAATCCTCCCACCTCCACCTCCCAAAGTGCTAAAACTACAGGCATGAGCCACCATGTCCAACCAATTTTTTAGTTCTTTGAAACAATGAAATATCTGAAGCATGTGACAAACTGTTAAGATTTGACAAAACTCACTGGTATACACAGATGTTCATTATATTATTTTGTATACATTTCTGTGTGATTCAAATATTTATGTAGATACAAGGTGTCAAATCCTATACACTTAAAAATCACAATCCCTATTCCATGTTTATACCTTTAAGATATTATATTCTAAATTAAAACTTAAGGTAAGTGGTAGTGGGCTTTATTGTTGTTGCTTTAAAATGACAAGCCTTAACAAAATATTGATGTAAACTTTTTAAAATCATACATTTGTATCCACCTTGGTTACAATGTATTTCATTATTATATGAATGTGAATGTACCACGGGTCTAATCATTTACCCCAGAAACAAACCAAGTACCTTAAACTGTCCTATATCTGGCACGGTTGAGGAATCTGGTGTTCTGGTCATTCAAATTGCTTTAGTTTATTTAAAGTTCCCATAAATATCACAGATGGATTACTAACTTTCAAAATAATTGAGAAATACTAAAATGCACTTAAACCTAAAACTACACAGGATATAATTTATTTTTCACTGATGATTATGTTAAGGCACTTCAGGATCTTGCAGTAATTGTTTTAACTTAAATCTAAAACATAATGCTTAGGGAAAAAGACAAGTTGCTTTTTAAAAAATCACATAAAATGATACAGGCTGGGTGCAATGGCTCACTCCTGTAATGCCAGCACTCTGGGAGGCCGAGGCAGGTGGATCACTCAAGGTCAGGAGTTTAAAACCAGCCTAAGAGTGAGATCCCATCTCCACTATAAATAGAAAGAAAGTAATTGGACAACTAAAAATATATTTAAAAAAATAATCAGGCATGGTGGCACATGCCTGTGGTCCCAGCTACTCAGGAGGCTGAGGCAGGAGGATTGCTTGAGCCCAGGAGTTTGATGTTGCTGTGAGCTAGGCTGATGCCACAGCACTCTAGCCCAGGCAACAGAGTGAGACTTGTCTCAAAAAAAAAAAAAAAAAAAAAAGATACAATTTTTGGAAAGTTTAAAAAGATGAAAAATGATACATTTTAGTTCTTTTTTTTCTTTTTATTGAGACAGGGTCTCACTCTGTCACCCAGGATGGAGTACTAGAAGAGAAAACTCAAATGGCCAATAAATCTATGAATATATACCCAACTTCACTAGTTATCAGGTAAATGTAAATCATGACAATACCCAAGTAAGATGATAACTGGCTGAGGGGTATATGGGAACTCTCTGTACTATCTTTGCAACTTTGCTGTAAATTTAAAATTATTTCAAAGTAAAATGTTAATTAAAAATAACAACACCCTGTAGACTTGCAAAATTTTAAAAGTCTGATAATAGCAAATATTAGCAAGGATACAAGGAAAAAAGAAAGAGAAAAAGGAGTCTAAATTTTTAAAACTAATTTGGACATCAATTCGGCAATATCTATAAAGTTAAAAATGCTCATAGGTTTTGACCTATCAGTTCCATTTAGGGTATAGTCCTAAATGTATACCCTAGAACTGCATTATCCAATACAGTAGCCACTAGTCACATGTGACTATTGAGCACTTGAAATGTGGTGGTCCAAAATGAGATGTGCTTTAAGTATAAAATATGCACCAGACTTCCAAGACTTTGTATCAAAAATAGATTGTAAAATATCTCATTAATAATGTTTATATTGATTACATGTTGAAATGATAATATTGTAGATATACTGAATTAAATATATCTTATCGTTAAAATCAATTTAATCTGTCTAACCTTCTTATAATGTGGCTACTAGAAAATATAAAATTATTTTTGTTCATTGCACTGTATTTCAATTGGACAACACTAACATAGAGCCTCACTCACCAGTAGCTCAAGAAATAAATCAATTTTGTAGGTCACACTCAGGATTTTTTTTTCAGTTAGACCTATGGCTGAATCCAGCATTTTTTAAATAACAGCATTGTCTGAATTCTTTTAATGAAAAAGAATAGAAGAGAAAATATCATAATGTACTGTATATAATAAGGGCAAAAATAAAACTTTTGATACAGTATGTATGTAGTAGGATGGGAACACAAAAATATGTTTTTGCCATAGATGATGATCAAAAATGTTTGAAAGTTCCTGCTAAACTCTCAGAAACACAATGTCCATTGTCGTTTGTAATAGCAAATATTTGAAACAACTTGTATGTCCAATAAGGGAGATTGAATAAATAGACTGTGATATATTTACCTTCATATAATACTACTAGTCTGCAGTAGAAATGAATGAACTAGAATTAAAATATTCATATGGGTAAAAATCTAAAACATAATGCTTAGGGAAAAAAGACAAGTTGCTTTTTAAAAAATCACATAAAATGATACAGGCTGGGTGCAATGGCTCACTCCTGTAATGCCAGCACTCTGGGAGGCCGAGGCAGGTGGATCACTCAAGGTCAGGAGTTTAAAACCAGCCTAAGAGTGAGATCCCATCTCCACTATAAATAGAAAGAAAGTAATTGGACAACTAAAAATATATAAAAAAATAATCAGGCATGGTGGCACATGCCTGTGGTCCCAGCTACTCAGGAGGCTGAGGCAGGAGGATTGCTTGAGCCCAGGAGTTTGATGTTGCTGTGAGCTAGGCTGATGCCACAGCACTCTAGCCCAGGCAACAGAGTGAGACTTGTCTCAAAAAAAAAAAAAAAAAAAAGAGATACAATTTTGGAAAGTTTAAAAAGATGAAAAATGATACATTTTAGTTCTTTTTTTTTCTTTTTATTGAGACAGGGTCTCACTCTGTCACCCAGGATGGAGTACAGTGGCCTCATCACAGCTCACTGCGACCTCAAACTCCTGGGTTCAAGTGATCCTACTGCCTCAGCCTCCCAAGTAGCTAGGAAATATGGATGCATGCCACCATGCCTGGCTAATGTTTGTATTTTTTTGTGTGCCAGGGTCTCACTATGTTGCACAGGCTGGTGTTGAAGTCATACCTCAAGCAATCCTCCCACCTCCACCTCCCAAGTGCTAAAACTACAGGCATGAGCCACCATGTCCAACCATTTTTTAGTTCTTTGAAACAATGAAATATCTGAAGCATGTGACAAACTGTTAAGATTGACAAAACTCACTGGTATACACAGATGTTCATTATATTATTTTGTATACTATTTCTGTGTGATTCAAATATTTATGTAGATACAAGGTGTCAAATCCTATACACTTAAAAATCACAATCCCTATTCCATGTTTTATACCTTTAAGATATTATATTCTAAATTAAAACTTAAGGTAAGTGGTAGTGGCTTTATTGTTGTTGCTTTAAAATGACAAGCCGTAACAAATATTGATGTAAACTTTTTAAAATCATACATTTGTATCCACCTTGGTTACAATGTATTTCATTATTATATGAATGTGAATGTACCACGGGTCTAATCATTTACCCAGAAACAAACCAAGTACCTTAAACTGTCCTATATCTGGCACGGTTGAGGAATCTGGTGTTCTGGTCATTCAAATTGCTTTAGTTTATTTAAAGTTCCCATAAATATCACAGATGGATTACTAACTTTCAAAATAATTGAGAAATACTAAAATGCACTTAAACCTAAAACTACACAGGATATAATTTATTTTTCACTGATGATTATGTTAAGGCACTTCAGGATCTTGCAGTAATTGTTTTAACTTACCTTTCTTTCTTTCTTTCTTTCTTTTCTTTCTTTTTTCTCTTTCTTTTCTTTCTTTCTTCTTCTTTTCTTTTTTTTTTTTTGAGACGGAGTGTCACTGTGTTGCCCAGGCTAGAGTGAGTGCCGTGGCGTCAGCCTAGCTCACAGCAACCTCAAACTCCTGGGCTCAAGTGATCTCCTGCCTCAGCCTCCCGAGTAGCTGGGACTACAGGCATGCGCCACCATGCCGGCTAATTTTTATATATATATCAGTTGGCCAATTAATTTCTTTCTATTTATAGTAGAGACGGGTCTCGCTCTTGCTCAGGCTGTTTCGACTCCTGACCTCGAGCAACCCTCCCGCCTCGGCCTCCCAAGTGCTAGGATTACAGGCGTGAGCCACAGCGCCGGCCTCCCTTACTTTTATCACAGTAGATGTCTATCTCAGATTAAAGTGGTTCTATTTTGCGTGCCATAAAAAACAAGAATTTTGTGAATCGTTTCCCTATACTAGCTTATAAAAGGGTCCCAGTGTGTTAAACATTAGTGTTTAAAAATCATTGTTCCTAGTACCTAAATGAAAAAAACCTGGAGCTATGGACACTCCAAAGACAAAATTCAGAAACAAAATACATTTAGGGGATCTTAAATAAGGCAGCAAACAGTTTGACTTTTTTTTTTTTTTTACTGCTATGTACCTTTAAAGTCCATGAAACGAAAATCAACATCATCCATTTTTAAATCTCCGGTTCAGGCCTATGAAAGAAGAAAATGGTGTAATACTTTGTCCTTTATCCTCCAATGTCTCAACCAATTTCTTTCCAGTGAAATGTTTCCTGTTACTTGTTATCCAAAAGGAGAAAAAAAAGTCTGAGAAAACCTAAGAACCCGTAAAAAAATAAAGTAGTTAATGAGGGCAGGGCCAGGCTGTCCTGCTACCTAAAAGGGGCTGGGAGATTTTCATCCCAAATCTTTTTTCACCATAAATCTTCCCAGCAATGGTGAGCAAAGCCGACGGGGCGTCTTCGCTGGGTACTTGCTTTCTCCTAATTGGTTCAAAATCCCCCTCCCCACCAACCTACATTCAAAGCATCCAATCACTCACCGTCCCTTTCCCGCTCTCACAGACAGCTGGCACCTTTGGCCTCCCACCCCAACTGCCACCAACAGTCCTGTTTA